TATGGCTTATATGACATGCGATACAATACATACCAATGAAGGCTCCGATGAAGAATGAGATTAACTGAATGACAAGAATAATGGACAATACAATCGACAACTTCTTGTTGGAGAGGTTCTCGAGGATTGTTCCCGACATCGTTGGCAACAGTAGTGAACAGTAGTGTTGAGTGAATGGAGTGAAGGTGTGATCACATCATTCACATGGCATCACATCAACACTCATGCATTGTGTGCCACACCTCTCACACAACACACACCCACTAGACATACAACAACTTATGAATGAATAACACAGTATTCAACTACTCTTACCTTATTATTCTAACTATTGTAAGAATCATATTCTTTAACTAACATATTAACATGGTCATATAATTTTAACTTTTATTATATTTTTAATATCCCTATATAGAAAAAAAATTGTCTTGGTAGTTCCACAAACAAATCCACCAACAATTATGAAAATTTGTGAAAGTACATTTATGAAAAATAAACATGTTCATCTTCAGATACCCGATGATAAAATAAACTAATTAATGAATTTGTAACAATCGTAGAATTTAATGATATAAAATTGTATTTTTATTAGCTAACTAATTTTATGAGCAATCTATACAATGTTAATACTATGGATCAAAAGATGAATACAATGAACGACATTTTATTTCTAAAGAGATGTTAAGCCTTGAATATAACCATTATAACAGACATTTCAATTTCAACTCAATATATTGAACAGTATTTACACAAATTAAACATTTTTTTACGTTTGGATCAAATATTTGTGTTTGTTTAATATTATTGCCAAATATGTAATTCTCTGACTAACCTGTAATACAAAAGTCAATTTCTAATTTAAATGCTGTAATATTTTATATTTTAACAAAAACACAAATTTCAAGAATTAAATTTTAAATCTTATGAAATTATAGCTAAATGATTCAAATTATATTACATGTTACAGAACGAGATATACATTACTGTTAGAATGAATTGATGGAAAAAATTATTCTTAATAATATTCATATTATGCTTTAAATTGCATTTTTACGTCAATTCATATAAATATTTATATTTATATTCAAACTCCCAAACCATATAATTGTGACATAATATTAATGTTTTGTATTTGTGGTAAAAAATCATGTTTAGACCGATTCTTCGGGAACTTGCAAATTGAGCTCATGGAAACATTGGCAATTATGGGTTTATGACACTTTTTTCAAACATATTTGTTCGAAAAAATAAACTTAAATTATATAATTAATTAGTTAAAGCTAGCTTAACCTAAACTTACCTAAACTAACTCATATTAACTTAATTAATAATATTATTAGCAATTTGCTAATTTAATGAGTTAAAAATAAATTAAAAAATTTTTTTTATAAAGGGAATCAGTCTTTCGAACAGGGAATTAGTAATAATTATTATACATACAGTATAACAGTAAACCCCTCTATTTTACCCACTTTTACGCTACCGTAACGTGCCTTCACTATACTTTCTTACTTCGGTATATGGCTATAAGTACAGTGAAAGCGATCATTGGGTAAAAGTGGCCAAAATAAGGGTCAGCAAAATAGAGGGTCTACTTTAATATGTGATATATTATACCTTTGGTTTATGTGTTTATAGGTTCAAAATATATAATTTTATTTTCCGATTTTAGCACATTTTGAGAACTTTTCCGAAAAGACTATTTTTTATAACATTAATTTCTGAAACAAACTTATTTCGCCACAAATGTTAACGAATTGCTAAATGAATGCCAAAAATTCTAGTCCCCAAAGAAAAGCAACTAAACTGAAAGTGTGTCCCGAGTTTGTGTGCACCTCAGGCTTCGGTGGCATCAATACTGAGACACAGTTTCCTACACCAACCCTTAGGATAGCAAACTTAAAACTTCTAGTTATATAAAACTTTAGTTATCGATTCATATAAAATACCTATTGTTTGTAACTTTAATACATGTATGCGGCAATTATACCGCCAAATAACTGTGTTCTGAGATGTGGATTGTATGTAAAATAATGTATCATTCCTTGTAATAAAAACAATATTTTGATAAATTAAAAGCAGATCCCCATTGAATGTTAATAATTATAATTTTGTCATTTTATTGAATCAAAAACAGTTGAATATTTTATTTCATTCAATAATTCTATAACTAATTCATGATTAATATTCTTATTAAATAATAGATATTAAATTATTTTCCATTAATTATAATACAAATGATAATTAAAACAAATTATAAAATTGTTGCCAACAGAATCTGGAATAAATGACTTCTTCATAAACTAAACAAATAACTAGAATAACAAGTCCTCGTCGTGTGTGTCAGCGAATAGATTGGGCGCCTCTTCTGCGGCGGCCACTCCTTCAGCTCTGGACGCCTTCAGCTTCTCCTCCTCTATTCGGATCTTCTTCTTCTTCTCTTGTATTTTCTTCAATCTATAGAACTCTTCTCTTTCTCTTTCATCCAATTCTGATGTAATGTAAGTAAGAGTGGCTTCAATGCGAGGGATCACCACGTGTTCCAATGCATTCACTCTTCGGTTTGTGATCTAAAGTTTGTGACCAAACAATTCATTAATACATTTGTCAAAGAATAACACAAAATGGTAGTCATGTCTCACTTTAATCACTTCATCCAAAGTAATAAAACTGGTCTGAAGTGACGCTAAATCGACGAGCAGTTGTACGGCTCGGGCGTAATTCTTCTTGAGTTTAGCCAACTGTTGGCCACCTCTGGCCAGACCCGCAAACTCGTGGACATCACTGCCGTCTTGATAGCACTCAAACACGGGTAGAGTAACTCCGGCCACGTTATCCTTTTTGCACTTCACCTGTTATTATCGTAAACAATACATTCATTATACAGAGTCTCAACATTAGTGTCCATTATTCACACCTTAATCTGGGCTTTAGTCACGTTCTGGAGGACAATAGCGTTGAAATCACTTCCAACGGTGAACTTGGCTTCGGCTAAACTAAAGGACGCCTCTTTCATCACTTCTCCCATCAATGATTTGGTCTATAATTCAACACAAAATGAGTCAACAATTGTGTTACAGATATTGTCTCAATGAATGCAAACCTCGACAATCTTCTTCAGAATCAATCTGAACCTCATCTGCAAAGCGTCCGCTTTCTTCTTCAGCAAAGAGTGTCCCTTTTGGGCCCCTTTTAGTCGAGACTTCATCAAAGTCTGTGCCCTAAAACACAATCAATTCAATCGTTTATCAAATCAATCGCTTTTAACAAATGAGACAATCGTTTGGATCAAATCCATGGCATATATGCTTACATTCTGGAGGGAAAGACTGCGATCCTATCCTTTCCACTCATTTTGTCTTAATTGATGTGAAGAGTGAAGACTGAGTGAAGATATGGTGAAAACAATATGAAGACAATTGTATTGATAATAATTTAGTGACAATTATCTCAACAAATGACAAATGACTCCGTGAAACTCCGTTTCTGACCTGCTGACCATCACTGCTGACCAAACGTCAGTTAAGTTGTGTTGAGAGTTATGTTGGTGAGAAAACTTGCCGAGAAAGCAGGTGGCTAACAGAGTACCTAATTCACTTAGACACGACACACGAGTCACTGATTGTCTGGTGATAATCGTGTGGTTTGTCTGGTGTTTGTGGCCATCGGTTGGGATGTCTGTGGACTCGAGTCTCTTCGTGTTCGCACTCTTCGACACTTCGGCTCTACTTTTTCTAACCGTTTATATCGTAATTGAATTACAAATACTTTACCATTTGATCACCGATTCTAACCAATCATGTCATTTGATCCACAGGTGATCACATTGAGTGACTTGGAGTGCGATTATCTGAACGCTCATCAGTGCTGTAATAAATTAAATAAGGTATGCATTGTATGGTTGTGTCGATCGACTTACCATTGATATTGTCTTTGTTTTTGGATCAATTAGTGGGTGATTCCGGAACTGATATCGTATGCAATTCTGGTAATACTTCTCTTATTCACAAACCATTGGTTTCTATTCATTCTGAACGGACCGATGCTGTCATGGATTGGCTATAAGTCGGTTCCAAACAGTGATGTTTTTGTCAACTCTTGTGACTGATATGTGTGTTGTCTTTGTCTTAATGTCAGATACTATTCAATACCGAAGGGAAACATCGGTTTCTATGACGCGACTGAAGTCCACAACAGAGGAAATCTGAAACAACTGATGAAATTCTCAATGATTCGATTGGCCTTTCATTTGATCCATTTCTTCATTTACTTGTATTGTATGATAATTGCATTGTTGACCAATCAATAGATCAAACCATCGATGAGACCATCAACTCAACGATCAACTCTCCCAACAATTCTCAATATATTTTTATTTAGTACTTAATCTGATAATGACTTAAATTTTAATATTTATTTAATAAAATTTACTTAAAAAACTAAAACTAGTTTTCTTTAAAGCAATTGTTTTCTTAACAAATGTCTTAAATTAAGAAAATAAGTGTTAATATCATTAACCAGTTATCGCTCATTAACTTAATGTTTAAGTACTCTAAATATCGCTAAAAATCACTAAATATAAAGATTTGGCAAAAAGTTTACAACTTTGTCAACACTTGAGTTCCAGTGTTTTCTCAATTATTAAATAAAGAGAGAAACATTGGCCAACCATTTCTATCAATGCATCACGTTTTGGTGATTTACAAAGTTTGCCAAAACAATTCATTTTTTACTCATCACTTAATTTACAATTTAAAATTATAGTTATTTGAAATTTAAATTAATAAATTATTCAAATGCTCTCTCTCTCTCTCTCTCTCTCTCTCTCTCTCTCTTAATCATTTATGGAAATTTTGGAACTATTGGACCTCCCGTTTGACCATAAGATTAGGAATAAACCACATATTCTCTCTCTCTCCTCTCTCCTCTCTCTCTCTCTCTCTCTCTCCTTATCTTTCTCTAAATATGTCAAACGATTTCAACGTAATTGTAAATTCTATAGCAATAAAACTTATATAACTTTAAAATAGTTACAGAAAAGTGAATTCAATGATTGTATGAGTGATTTGAGACGTGAATGTAATCATGTATGAAATGTTTGGTACATTTGCCTAACAATTAAAGTACAAAACAAATAAACAAAGTATTATGTAATCAATGGCTAGAAAGTGAAGTACATTTGCGAGTAATTTGTGCGACTCTATGACAACGAACTGTGGCTTTAATGACAAACCAATGGTTTGAATGAGCAGTGAATGCATTGGTTGTACTGAATGTAGTTGTAGTCAGAATGCGATTACAGGGAAACCATACAAACCATAGGTATGTTTGCGTTCATTTGCAATGCAATCCCATTTCAATGCTTTACTGTTTTGGTTACTATTTGTATGATTTGTTTCACATTTGGTCCGTAATTAACGACAATATGTTGTCGTTATTTAAAGCACTCATTAATTGCTTATTTGTTATGCAATACTAAACACTGAATTTAAAACACTTTTACGGCAAACCAATTATCTATTCATTCATACATTCAGTTTTGTATTCAATTTGTATTTAATTTGTTTTTATGGCAATTAATCACTCATTTGTCTGAAGATTGTATGAAATTGAGTGCAATTTTAACGGTTTAGTAAATATTAGTCTAAATAAAGACTATTTTTTGGGTAATAATAATCAAAATAATTATTAAAATGTAAACAATTATTATTTTTATTTAACTCTTTTATGTGTTTCACAATTTGCTAATAATTTTTAATTTAAATAATTTTTTGTTTTCTAGATTTGAAGACAATTTGTTAAAAACGAGTTTTAAGTTAAGACTATTAATAAACGAGACATCGGTTTCATTCGTAAGTTAATTGTATTTCACAAATCATTTGCAAAATAACTTTCGTATGAATTATGTCTGAAATATGAATACTTTTGTGGTTAGAATTGAGTCCTATTTTGTGACACGAGTTGCCGTTAATCTGAAGACAAGTGATTCGGCAAAGATGTCATCGAAACCAACTAAAACTCATTTGGCTCTTAAAAAGGCTGATAATTATAATCACAACGATTTTGATTCCAAACTAATGGTATGTCTTATGAATCGATCGGCAATTTGTCTTCCGGTGACCGAGAGATCAGAACCATTGACTGGTGAGGATGTGTTGGACAAAGTATACAATCAACTGAGAGACCAAAACATAGATTACGACAAACCATTGTATTTTGATCCCAAATACAAGAATTTGTTCGCCATTTGGGTTACTTCTGCTTATCTTGAGCTCCAGTTACAGCCGACGCACCGGCCGTTCACAGTGTTGACCAATTGGGACCAACTTCTCTTCAAACACGGACCCATAGAACTGGTCACAGATCCACAACTTATTAGAAAAGATGAGCCGAACCTTAGTTTCCAGAGGAATGTGTTTTGCGATAAATCAAGAGATAATGAGATCGGAGTGTCAGATATGGGCGCTCTTCGACTTCTGTACTTTGAGGCCAAACTCAATGTATTGGACGGCAGATATCCGTACGACGATTACGAACAGTTGGCCGCATATCAGGCGGCCATCGATTTGGGACCATATGATCAAAATGAACACTCGATTCAGTATTTCCGCCAGCATTTGAATGAATTCATTCCCTGCAATCACGTCAAAGGCAGTGATGGCAACAAAATCAATGGTTTGATGCGAACGCTAAGTCGTGGCACTCAAACACATCGTTGCGCTCAACGAATTGTCGACAAATACAGAGACATCTCTAATCATAAATGGACTGATTATGACCTCTTGAAGGCCTATTTAGACATTTGCCACACAATACCGGTTCGTATTATTAATGTGTTAATTATTGGACAAATTGACTCATTTCTTGTATTGATATGTTATGAAGGCTTACGGAAGCGCTTACTTCTCGGCACAAATCGAAAGACCCATAAAATCGAGTTTCGCGTCTTTGATGAGTCATTTCGACCTAAAAGTATGGGTTGCCGTCAATAAGGATGGTCTGCACCTCATATCCAAAGAAAAGCCGGTTTGCATTCAAACACTTGTTTCAATGGTTTGTTTAAATGGTTAACAATCTATGGTTTAATTGCAGGAACTGTTGCTTTCAATCGATTACGACGACTTGTGTTGGGCGGTGGGATGTCCTCAGGACTCTTCGGATCCCAATTGCATTCCCTGTCTATTCATTCAAATACCGGACGAAAGCGACAAAAACACAATTTTGCAGATATTTTCGCGTCAATACAAACTCATCGAATCGATCCTTCATTCGTTTATAGAGGAGGCAAAGGCCAAGTCCTCGAGTCAGCCGATGAGTCCGTCCTGTGATGTGACGGACAGCGCACAACCCATTGCCGCTCAACGTGTCATCACTTATGAAAGCAATCCTAAGTTATCATTACTCCGGAAGAAGTTATCGTTGGCCACATTCGACGGGTCCGGTCAGTGCATCAACAAAACTGGTTCGTGGGTTAGATCACAGCACAGGAAGACAATTAACTGAATATACAGTTAATTATTTTAGTTATCATTTCATTTATAGAAATTTATTTATACGTTAAATACAATATAAAAGTTATATAAATAATGTATTCATTTCTAATTGGATTTCTATTACTTAATAAACACTATTATATTTAAAGCCTTTAATCGATGATCTGATTTGAATCCAAATGAAGTCACAATTGGCCTCTTTATGGGCAGTGTTTGTCTCTTCGAGAGTCAACACATCAGACAACGCGTCACTTAAGTCTTGATCCACATTATTGTCCACCACTTGAGGGACTGTTTCGTCAAATATCGTAAATGGTTTGTCCGAAAGTGGACTACAATTGCATTGTTTTTGTGTGAGAATGAGTTTATATTTGTGGCCAAACTTAGGCGTTCTGTAGTCGACGTGAGGCGTAAACAGTTGATCCGTTTGGTGACACTTAACCGAGTGGTCCATCGCTTGTTTGGCGTAGCGTTTGTCCACTTTAACCAAAACAAACATTTTGGTGATCGGAATCTCTTTGCGGTTTTCAAACAATAGGTTTTCATCGTTTAAAATGGTTTTAAAAAAACGAGTGACGGCTGACCGGAGGCCCACTCGCGGACAGTCAGCCGTATGGCCGACACTGTATACCTCTTGTGCCGGCATTTCTATGCAATACAACTCTTTAGGCATTTGTAACGTTTGGCCCAAAGATAGCGAAACACAATCGACGGCAATGTCTGTACAACTCATTAAACAAATCAATTCATTGAACACTTTATCCAACTCTTCAATCGTCGCCAAAAGCAGTTCCTCTTTGGGCGACAACTCTTTGCTGACGGCCTTATCGTTCAACTGATGTAATGTCTGAGAGTTGGTCAGAGGGAATGGGATCTGTTGTCTGTCGTACAGCAAATACTTCATCATTTCGGTCACCAGTCTTGCCATCACATCCCTTGTCATCAATCCGTTGTCCAATTGTATCACACATTCAGTCCAATCGTCACCTCTTTTGGTACGTCTTCTGCAACACTTACTCTCAGCTGAAGACATCTTTTGTGACCACTTCTTCGCCAATAGATAGATATATATAAGCCGTGAAATCAATTACTCAAACATTTAATGGCATTAATTGTGTTATCATTTGATTTGTTGACAAAAGTGTCGTTTGTTTTGCAAAATACAAATCAAAACACAAATTCAAAAATAGTTGACAAATGGTGTCAATCATTGACTTTATATTTAAAAGTACCAAAAGTATGGCATAAGAGTTGTGTACAAAACAAGCCTACATTCGCTCCAATATTTGGTCCCTTTTCACACACTTAGACATTATTGTCATCTGTTGTCAGACTCTATAAACATTGCTTTTAATGTTACGTCTATTTGTTATTAATTTTTTTAATAATTTGATTTTGAAATTGAATTTAATTGACAATTGAATGGTTTGAATGCTTTTCCATATTAAGACCAATGAGTGATAATTTTGAGTCCAAATTATCTGAATTTCGGTCAAAGAAAGTGAAGTCAGAATCCAATGACTCGTTAAATGTGTCCACAATTTGGCACTCAATTCGCCAAAGAGTCAGACCTCGAGAAGACATCACTTCAACGGATCCAATGAGTGATAATAAAGAACAAATGATGCAATTGCTAGCACACGATAATGGCAGCGAATCGGAGGAATTGTCGCAATCAACTAATATTATGGTCGACGACGAAGAGGTGGACACAAATGTGTTTGATTGCAGTCAATACGAGCTTTTGGTGATATCGTTGAAAGTGTTGA